GTGTCTATGCCAAACTCAATCTCCCTATATGGTGGTATCCCTGGGAGATCATCCGGGAACACGTCTAAAAACTCTTCCACAATCGGTACTGATTCAAGAACTGGGGAGCCAACTTTCATATCCCGCACATATGCTAGATACGCCAAACACCCGTTGCTCACTAGTTTTCTAGCCTTAAGGTAAGAAATAAACTTACCCATAGGCGTACCCACTTCACCTCTAATTATAATTGGATATTCCCCAATAAATGAGAATTTAACCGTCTTCGCGTGGCAATCAACTATAGCATGACAAGAAGATAACCAGTCCATGCCAGCTATGATGTCAAAGTCTACTATATCTAACAAGTTCAAATCGGCTAATATTTCTCGGCCTTGAACTGTGATGATGTAGTTTCTGAATATATACTCAACTTTAACAGATTTCCCTATAGGTGTGGAAATCTCAAACGGAACCCCTAATGTTTCTGGTGATTTTCCAAACTCGACACAAAAATAAGGAGACACATAGGAGAAAGTTGAACAAGGATCAACTAATACATAAGCAAGGCGACCACAAACCAAGAGAATACATGTAATAATTTTGTTAGGTGCCTCAGCATTCTACCTGTTTAGAACTGCATAGAATCTGGCTGGTCCGCTTCCTCCCTGAGCTCCACCTCTATTGGCACCACGCTGAGTCTGAGTATTAGATGCCCGAACTGGAGGAGGTGTAACTATAGAATTACCCATGGATGTTTCCTGTCTGATTGGAGTTTTCCCCGGAGCTTGTCCAAGTAGTGGACAGTCTCTCTTAATATGACCCGGATCATGGCAGTGGAAACAACCTTTCTGACCCAAAAGGCATTTCCCTGGATGTCTTTTGTTGCATGAAGGATATATAGGATAGGAGAACCGAGGTTGGCCCTGACTAGTTGAACTTTGCCCCTAAGGGGCCTGACCCTTACTCTGTTGGCCATGTATGAGTGGAGCTGGATAAGAAGATGAGTGAGCCGTTGATTGAATGTGAGCTGAATGATTCATGTTCTTACCCCCAACTGAAAAAATCCACTATAAATACCTATTGTTCTAGCCTTTTTGATGTTATCTCTAGCTTCCCTGTCGATTTTTTCAATAGCCTCCTTACGTGTAGCGATATTGACAACCTGAAGATAAGTCTTGTCATCTTGATGTGAAGTCATATCTTTTGCCATATGTGGATTCAAGCCTTCAATGAACCTTCTCACCTTTTCTCTCTCTGTCGGTATCAAATTAGGTGCATACTCTGCCAATTTTGAAAATTCCATCTCATATTCAGTCACTGACATAGTACCCTGTTTAAGATGTTCGAACTGACGTCGGAGCTCATCCATCCGGATGCTAGGCAAAAACTTGGCCCTGAAAGCTTCTTTGAACTAAGGCCAAGTAAGTGGCGGTAATGTAGAATCTCTGGCTTTCTTGTAACCTCTCCACCATTGTCCTACTTCACCCTTCAATCAAAACACAATCAACTCTGTGGTTTGTGTTTCAAGACAACCCAAAGAAACAAACATTTTCTCTATCTCTTCCAAAAATAACATTGGTTCATTTGGTTTATCGGTACCATTATAAGTAGGAGGGTTTAATCTCAGAAAGGCATGTGGATCAATTTTTCCTATTGGTAACTGCACTGTCTGGGCAATATTTGCAAGGACAACTTGTGGTGGTACCTCGAGTTGAGCTTGAAAATCATCTCTTATAACCTCTTCATCTGAATCATGAGGGTCCTAAGGAGGAGCATGAACACGTGCAGCCCGACCACCAGCCAGAGGGACTAGGGACTCCAAAAAGTCCAAAATTCTGTCAATTCGATTATCCTGCTAATGTGGTGGTACCCGATCATTAACAACCTGCTAAGGTGGAGCTTGTGACTGTCTAGTGGCCCTACCACGAGCCTGATTACCTCTGGCATTTCCACCTCTACCGTTAGCATTTTGACCTCTACCTCTGCCACGTCCTCTAACTACAGCCGGTGCTATTGGTGTGGCTTGCACCTCCGATACTGCTTCTTGATGATTAGCAGCTGGTATCTCAACATTGTTAGCAGCAGAGGATGAAGTTGATCTTGTTCTAACCATCTTGTTTGCGTTGAAACGACAGATAAATGGGTGTTAGAATTCTGAAACGTTTAGCTCTACGCACGATGTAAGAGTAAAAGAAAAGAAATTCTCCTAACATGTCCTGCAGCCTCCCAGATATAAGTATGGTGCACAACATACCCATAAATGAGACTCTACTAGACACGGCTCATGACTCCCTAGGACTTCTCAAACCTGGCTGCTCTGATACCAACTTGTCATGCCCCCAAACTGGGATGGGACGTGATTGGCACTTAACCCTTACCACTCGTTGAGTGAACCCTGTACTATTTGTATCAAACTTCAAGTTCAATAGCAAATAATCTAACGTGCTTATATTAATTCTAATCAAGTTGAAGTTCTTAAGTTGACTGATAAAAATAATAATAAAGGATAAATCTCAAACTATTTTAATACTGACCTACTAACAAGTCATGAGCCTCTAGAATATGAAAAAATAAAAATAAAATACATAGCCTATGGGGGCATCCCCGGAAATAAAATAAACGAAAAAAAAGATATAAATATTAGTCTGAAAACCGCCCGCTACTACTGGGGTGAATCAACGGAGTCTGTAAACTGAATCTAGAATATATCCTCTAGTCACGTGCCTCGTTACCTGCGTCCTCAATACTTTCCACACAACATAGCAGGCCCAAACGGGCTAAGTACCACCAAAGAATACCCAGTAAGTCTCATAGGCTATCTCCTAAAAAGGCGGAGTGAGACCTTCTAGAAAATATAAGCTGAGTTATATATATTTTAAGACATAACTTTGCAAAGTTAATTGTTACGCATAATGGCCCTGCGTACGTGAGCATCTGGGAACACATATGGGGGAGTGTCGGCCTATCTCCCCAACAAACAGTTGGTACCTGCGAGCGTGAGGTAGGTAACCCTGACAACATGGTACTCACGCTGGGGGAGGTTGGCCACTTCTCCCTACTGAATGTGAATATCACAAATAAAGGCACATAACAATTAGTAATACACATAAGCATGTATTCATGTCACATATAATGTCGTACTGAATAAGAATAAGTGAAGTGAGTATTGGATCACGAGAAGACATGACTTAGCTTTATCTAACATATGGAGCACAAGAGTTATAATAGAATTTCCTACTATGGAAGTAAACCTCAACTCACCTCAAGTCTTAGCTTCAATTTATCCTTTCATACTTCCCAGGAGTTCAACAACTCACGATCTACAAATATTTTAGCTAGGATCATTAGGACATACTCAACAAGTTCAATTCACCGCCAATTGAACTAATTTCTAAATCATGGATTACTCAATATAATCGGCACTTAATGTGAAAAAAATATATTTCTCTGTCAAGCTTACTGCTACAATACCCTTTACCACTTGGTATATGGAAAGGAAGAAACATATTTTAGTATCAAAAATATTACATGTCCATACTTAAATAACACCATCCAAAACTTATGACCCTAATAATAATCCAAATACTCTAGCAACGTTCAAATATGATCCTCACTTTACCCTTAAAGCTTTGTCCATTACTAGATGAAAATAATTTTTTCATTATTTTAATATTTCTAATCATGTTCCCAATCTTAAAAAAAAAACTTAGGCAGTAACTCGAATGGGTTTAGAATTTATCAAATTGCTTTCAAATTATTTCTTGTCACTATTTTAAAAAAACTTGATATCCACATCAATCCTAATGTAATCCAAGACATACCTCACGGATAAGATTATATATCTACATACCTGATTGTTGGTTAAATTGCACAAGAAAATTTTCAAGCTTTCTAGATCTCTGCTCATACCAATTATGTATCCTCAAACTTCTCAAACAATAATGACCCAGGCAACAGATCAAACAATTGTTCTTTCGCAACTTCTTTTTCTTAATTTGATTCCAGAGTTAAAGAGGTTTTAAAATAGCTCTCCCTTAAGCCATTCTAAGGTTCTTCAAAGTAGGGAAACACTAAGAAGTGGGGATAACCCACTTATCTTCTCCTTTATCTAAAGTATTTTTTTTCTTCCGTAAGTCATGCTAAGACTTTATAAAGTAAGAACACTAAGAAGCGAGGTTGGCCCACTTATTTTATTTTTTATCTAAAGTATTTTTTTGATAAAAATTTAAAAATAGACAGATTTACAAGTGGTAATTGAAAAATAGCCACAGTTTCAAAAGTAATCAAAATTTAGCCACTTTTCATGTAAAGATAAATTTGAACGAAAACACTGTTCAAAATCCGAAAAATATTTCAGCATAATATACTGGAATTCCAGTATAATATGCCGAAACTCTAGTATAATTTACTGGAGTTCCAGTATAATATGATGAAACTCCAGTATAATTTACTGGAGTTCGAGTATAATATATCGGTCCAACATAATATGCTGGAAGTTCATACACAGGTGCTCCAATCTCCAGTATATTATGTTGGAACTTTTCGTGTGTTGGATTTCCAGCATAATATGCTGGAAGTTCATACACAGGTACACCGATCTCCAGTATATTATGTTGGAACTTTTCGTGTGTTGGATTTCCAGCATAATATGCTGGAAGTTCATACACAGGTACACCGATCTCCAGTATATTATGCTGGACCGGTCCGTGTTGCAACAAAATAGTGGTTATTTTTTCATGACTTTGCAAACTCGGGCTATTTTTCAATTAACAGTCCAAAAACTGGCTAGCCTGTGCTATTTTTACGTTTTTTTCTTCCTTAAGTCATGCTAAGACATTGTAAAGTAAGAACACTAAGAAGTGAGGTTGACCCACTTATTTCTCTTTTATCTAAAGTATTTTTTTTCTTCCGTAAGTCATGCACATTGTAAAGTAATAACACTAAGAAGTGGGGTTGGCCCACTTATTTCCTCCTTTAATCATTATGTTGTTTGGTTATTCAAGTTTCACTTACCAAAACTGAATCGAAGCTTCAATCTTTCAATTATGTCAATCACAAAACAGAAAAGGATTCCTTATCTATAGTTACTGCAGTCTTTTGACTTGGCGGCTATGAAAGTCCCTCCAGTGAAGCCTCACTTTTTCAAACCCATTCAGCCAGGTTTCAAACACGCTCTGGTGAGTCTAAGTAACCCTCTTAATGTGTTTGGCACGAGGAAAAATGACTCCACACAAAATGTTTTCAACGAAGGATTTTCATTTTATCCCAAAAGGTAAGTCATTTTTCTTGCAACAACCCTAACTTTTAACTTAGTTCAAGTGGCAAAGGTTGAGGGACTTGTGACTTAGGTTACATGTTTCGGTTGGCCTCGTTATCACCGAGGCTGGGGAAAAGTGCAGATATAGCCATTTTCAGGGATGCTATGTAGAGATTAGTCGGTACTTATTTTGTCCTGAAATTTTAAACTAAAAATCTTAACTTAGGACATTTTTGTCCCAATAAATTGAACTGAAATAGCTCTGAATTCTGATACTTACTTGTCACAACCCAAAATCCAAACCCACGGGGTCGTTTCCACAAACAATATTCATAATTTATAATATATTTAAAAATTAGCCAATTCGTTCAAATTTCAGGATACGACATCTTGAAGTTTAAACCTTAAAGTTCAAACTACATGATATCGTGTCCTAAAGTTCGAGAATTATGTCCAAAAATTCGAATTTTATTTCCTGAATTTTAAACTAGTAGTTCAAAAATTCAGATCCTCAATTTCAAATCAAATTAGTAGCTTAAAAATTTAGGACACTAAGTCTTGAATTCCAAATTAGCAGCTAAAGAATTTAAAATACAAAAATTCAGGATACTTAGTCCTGAACTTTGGGTGATTGGCTAATCTTTAAATATATTATAAGTTGTGGATATATTTTAAATAGCAGGCTTAAAAGTGGCTATTGGTGCATTTCGCTCTTGATCCTAAGGGTAGGCCCATACAGATTTCTCGCTCATAAAAGAAGATAAGCTAACGCTGCTCGCCAATTTGCTGATATTATTACTAATCTTTAATATATATAAAATAAAAACACTATTCACCAACCAAACTCCAGAAAAACATTTTCCAGTCATATGAAACACACCCTATATGTATGTATCGTATGGAGGTTGAAGAATTTATCCCAGGAAAAAAAAACACTAACGACTCAGAAACCATTATGAACATTTTTTTAATTGCTTAACTTGTTACGTAGTCTCTATCCGTTTCATGTCATAAATAAAACAACATAATGATTTGGAACAGGGCTAATCTAAGGGGTAGTTTGGTTGCGTAAAAATTGCACGGGACTCCCTATTTGGTCGTCCCCATTTAACCTATACCCATTTTTTTAAAAAGTTTTAACTTGTACCCACTGTTTAAACAACTTTAGCTCCTCCTTCATTTTCTGAATGCTAAAGAATTCTAATTTTAATTGCTACTGAAACACGAAAGCACGAGTTGATTTCCTGTTCTTTTACTAATGGTCTTGTTTTATATGAGTATTGCTTTTCAAATTTCCTGATAATTTCATTATTCTAAGTCTAACATATATAATAAATAGTAGTTAGCAACTGGATCTTAATGACAACTTGTCATTGTTGTTTTAGAACTTCAACTCTAAGAATGCTGAAGTTCAGCAAATATAAACAAAAATTTCAGCTCCTAGAATGCTGAACTTCAGCAAATACAAAACAAACTTCATCCCTGAAGTTCAAAGCTTCAGCTAAAACATGCTGAAGTTCAGCAAATATAGAACAAAACTTCAGCTAAAACATGTTGAAGTTCAACAAATACATAACACAACTTCAACTATTATAATGCTTAAGTTCAGCAACACATGATGTTTTATTGAACCGAAGTTTTCCATTTGCACTATGAACTAAAGTTTGTGTGATTGCCTTTGCAAGTCAGGCCAAACTTTATGCAAAAATATCTGAAGTTTTGCTACACTTCAGGCAAAAAGTTTTGCTACTTCAGGCCTGTCTGCCTGAAGTTACGCGAAAAGTGGGTACGCTTGTAATTTTTTTGCAAAGCGGGTATAAGTTAAAACGTGGCCCAAAAGCGGATATAGATACAAATGTCCCTTTGGTTGCCTACATTAAATCCAACATTAACTATACAATGTTTGGTTACTAATTTGATGCTTGCTTAAATTTCAGCATGAGCAATATGGTGTTTGGTTATCATTCTTATTGCAAGCATAAATAATACATGCTTAAGTTAAGCAGGAATTACACTTGTTAGTTGGTGCTACATGAGTAAAAGCTCAGAGGAAGAAGTTGATCACCTTTTGTTGCATTGCCCTGTGTCCTTAACTTTGTGTCTTTTTGGTATTCAATGGGTGATGCCAAGCACTGTAAAGGAAATATTATATAGCTGGGCCGGTTTCCGTAGAAGAAGAAAGCAAAAGGCGTGGAAGTTCGCCCCGTTAGCTCTCATATGGATAGTATGGGGGAGAGAAATAGGAGAGCTTTTGAGGGAATTGAGTCTCCTTTTTCACATATTAAGAATAGTCTTTTATCTTTGATCACTTTTTGGTACACTCATTTAGCCCCTACTTGTATAGAAGATTGAGCGTATTTTATAGAGAATCATGTTCTGATGTAAATTCTCTACTTTTTGGTATATTTCGTGTATATGAGAGTTCTCTCCCTTTTGATTAATACAATTTACCTTATCAAAAAAAAGTTAAGCAGGAATCTATGTATTAATACATGGAGTAAAACAACTAAGGTGGACTGAGGCGTACTTGCTGTTTTGTTGGATTAAAACAACTAAAATGACCAAAATAATCCTCATGTGTTAAACATTATTTTAAAGTGATCAAAACACATATTTTACTTCTCGTATTATAATTAATCCATTTTATTAATCCCTGCATTACATTCTCCTCATTATTAATCCCTACATTATAATTCCTACATTACTACCCTGCATAACTTCTCTCTGAACCAAATGTTATGTTGTACTGCAGAACATTCCACTAGGTTTCTTGAAGTATCTGACAGGACACGAGCATGAACATGCCGTACTAAAAAGGGCTGGTAAGAAGTGGCTGGTGAAAGTGAATGGTCATCGACTAGAAGAAGGTTGGGAAAAGTTTGCAGAGGAGCATGATCTGCAATTGGGAGATATGTTGGTGTTTAGACATGAAGGAAACATGGAGTTTAAGGTTGTCATCTTTGATTCAGGTCACTGTAAAAGAGAATATGCAGAGAATCTGCAAGAAGAAGAAGAAGAAAAAGAAGAAGAAGAAGAAGAAGAAGCAGGAGGAGGAGGTCGAGGAGGTGAAGAGAAGAGGAAGAACGAGGAGGAGAAGAGGAACAAGGAGAAGAAGCTAATTTTGGTCAATCTCTTTTTGAATGCACAATTAGATCCTATTGGTTTTCCAACGGTTACTTGGTAAGTCTTAAAATTATTTCCTCCTAACCTTCAAAAATGCTTGTTATAAGAAGAGTGCTTCGTCTTTCATAGGCTATAGTCCAATGTAAAGGGGCTGTTTGCTCTGTTTACTCACTCAAGTTTATATATTGAGTCCTCTAAAGACACTGTCCCGGATTCCATGAGAATAAATTTTCATACTTTGTTATTTAAAAAGTTTAAAGAAATTAGCTCATATACGTTAAACAATATTTGGCGAATAATATCTACAAAAGTAATATTTGTTGGAAGAGTAAAATAGCTAGGCATAAAATAGCTCTGTAGAAGACCTTTTTGTTGTATGTGTTTGCGTTAATTAAGATGGTCTTCTATAAGTTCTTTCTCAATGTTTCTAGAGATATAATAGTCATTTTAACACCTAAAAGCACTTTTACACGTCCTACTAAACTCTACCAAAGTGTGCTATCCTTTCCCTAGTTTGCTTGGTCTTGAATCTCTTCCTTTCTTGTGTAAGTTGAGGGAGGGTGGCGATTATAAATATGTTGTATTAATATAAGCATTGATAGCTTAAAACAATTAATACATCTGACCTTATTCTTGTTTCCATGTTTTGGAATCTAGTAAATCTTTAGCTTTATTTTCATAACATTGTTCTTGTTATATTAGTAATTTCCTTGTTATTTGGAAGCCAAAGAAATTTCATGTATGGTCTACTTTGGAGAGCGAGCTCCTACTAATTTTGAAAATTATCAAAAATACAGGGCGGATGTTTAGATGCTATTCAAAATTTTCTTGTAATCCTTTGTCACACATGATTTCTTGACATGGATTTGCGTACTAACTAACCGTGTAACAGACAAACCAAACCCCAGCATCAAGTCATTAAGCAAGGCATTTCCCTATGCAGGAACTGACACTCACAAGCCTTTTAGTCAATCTCATTTTGTATGCACTGTTAGACCCTATTGCACTGTTAGACAAGGGTGGGTTGCTCTAGTTGTGAGCACCCTCCACTTCCAACCAAGAGGTTGTGAGTTCGAGTCACCCCAAGAGCAAGGTGGAGAGTTCTTGGAGGGAGAGAGTCGGGGTCTATCGGAAACAACCTCAGGTTTTGTTGTTGTTGTTGTTGTTGTTGTTGTTAGACCCTATTGCTTCTCAAATGATCTCTTGGTAAGTCTAAAACCATATCTTGCAAAGACCCTTCAAGAACTCCATTTTTCTTTTTTCTTTTTTCTCTTTGTTTCTTGGTGAAAATATGAAGTAAACCACCATTTGATTATCTGGGGAATGGTTATAAACCATTTCAGTACATTCCCAAACAATTTGCACTTGCAAATGGTCTCATCAACAAGAAATGCGACTTGATTATTAGAGATGAATTGCAAAGGTCGTGGAACGTCAGGTTACGATCTTTTGGCAATAGTGTATTTATCAGAGGTGGATGGCATGAATTCCGTAATGCAAAGTGCTTAAAGGAGGGAGATTGCATAGTGTTTGAGCTTGTTACTAATGGGAACAAACCGATATTGAAATTTAATGGTAAGCTTTCTCATTTAAGAAGTGGTCTTATTTTTCGATCATCTTATGTGCATATAAACTAAGACTCCGTTCAGCGTGCATTTTGGATGAAGCAGTTTTTACTTAATTGGAAGAAAGCACTTTCAATTCTAGGTAAGCATAACTCATTTTCATTTGTGACNATATATATATATATATATATATATATATATACATACCTTTTCAAATTTTGTTCAACCAAAGTGGAGAATGATTTGAGATGTATTTTTCTTTTCTACAACAATTTTCACGAAAAATATATCTTCTTTCTTGTAGAAAGCATTTTACATCCTATGGAATATGGCTTATGAAGAAACAAAATTGATGAACTTCATTTCTTTCTGTATAAGAATAGTGCTTCATCTTTTGTAGGGCAATCTGCTCTATTCGATCACCCGAATTTGAAGATTGAGTTAGTTAAGGCCCTGGTCCTAGGTTCCGTCGAGGAGAAATTTTCAATGTTCATGTATTAGGAGCAGGAGGTTATTGAAAAACTAGAAATCATTCATAGACACAGTCTACAAACATACCTTTGGCTTAAGTCAAATCCAAATTCAGACCTAATTCCTTAAACTTCATTTTCAAGACATATTTCTCACCTCCTTGATCCTTTTTTTTTCAAAATGACTTGGAAGCTCAGAGAAATTTTAAGAAAGTTCTATATATGGAGAGGGAGGCACTCCTATTTTTGAATTTATTCCTATGATTTTTTTTCTAATTGTTACCCTTTGTGTTTCTTTTTCTTTATTTTACTTTTTTCTGATTTTTTTCAGTACGAGGAACAACAGCTCATTAGGATAAAAGACCTTTAACATGAGAGTTTATGCACAAGTATCTGTTTAATGATCTTCCTCATTTTACCATTAAACCATAGTATTATTGGCAAGCCAATATAAGAATAATAAGTGGACGGAGGACAACATCAGAGCAGCGAATAGTTGGGGACATTTATAAGTTTGAACTCATTAAGGATGGGAAAGAACCTATGGCGTACTTCCGTTGGTAGCGTTCTTCTACACTAATTGATGTTGTTGTCTATTTTCTTTTTCCATTGGCTATTAGAATAAGGAAGATATTGTGGAACTATAAATGAGAGGATGTATAATAGTGACGTGTAACAGACTTGGTTATAGTTTAGAGAGTCTTGGATGACGTTAAATAAATTTACTCCTTACATAGTGTACTCTGTATAAGTTTTCTCACATATATTACACAATGTTTAATATTTTTGCATTTGCCAATATTCTCATGATAAGAAATCTATGTTAGCTATTAGGTTATGGTGTGTTTGCACAGCCAAGTTTCTGCTAATGCTAAGAGGAAGGAAAAGTTTTGGTAAGGAAATTCCTGCTCTAAGTTAGTATTTCTTCCTACTTGATTCTAACAGTTTTCTGGTTGATATCATCTGTCGTAACTGTACTTATTCGTTAGAAATAATTTATTTCAAAAGTATGTACACGCTTTATAAGAATTTGAAGATTATGTAGCCCTATAAAGAATGTCACACAAGATAGTCAACATGTTAAACACTTTAGGGCAGATTTTATATTTAACTTACATTATAAACTAATGTATTTTTGCAAGGCAAAATTTCTGGAGAGGATACAAACATCATTAAAGGGGTTACTTAACAATGAAGTTAACAATGAAGTTGTTGGTGACAACAACACAGTTTAATCCCACTAGTGGGGGTGTGTACCCAGACCTTACCCCTACCCTGGGTAGAGAAGTTGTTTCCGATAGAAACTCGGCTCCCTCCCTCCAAGAACTCCCACCTTGCTCATGGGGTGACTCGAATTCACAACGTCTTGGTTGGAAGTGGAGGGTGCTCACCACTAGAGCACCCCACTGTTGATGATAAAAAAGTCTAAAGGAACACTGAAGCAATTCTCTCCCACCCCCAAACCAACCTACCTCTCTCCCTCTCTCTCTCTCTCTCTCAATTGATTTAATATATGGTGCACCGCGTCAATAAAGCCTGTTATGTTTTCTTCCAGAAAACTCCATGTAAGGAAGTGTTTAGTTACTCACCAGAGGTTGTAAAGTGCTATTTCTTGGCCATTGGATCAACAACGGTGTGATATGTTCATGTATAGCTTGACAATTTCTCCTGGAATGCTAACATCCATTAGATTTTCCTGCTTCATCTGCTTGGACATCCATGAATTCCTTATCCATTTCTTTTAATAATTTGATCCACTTCTCCTGCCTAAGTTATATATATAGCTAATTGAGCTGGGGTTATGTTAATATGGTCTTTAGTCACCTTTGTGTTTTTGTTTCAACATTTATCTTTGAGTGACCATGGTAGAAATTGCTGATTTGTAGTTGTTCATGGAGCAATAATACCTCCACTATACTTAATATCTTAATTTTTCCCTCCATTATGTCATGAGCTAATTCATACCCTTGCCGCTAGCAAATAGTCTCATCTTTTCCCTTGACCTTAATGGATCTCCAACTAGAGTACTTTCAAATCATAGGCAGAACTAGAAGGATAAATTTGAATTGAAGTATTTTGACACATGAAATTCGTCTAATCAACGCTTGAGTTCCATTAAAGTCAGGGGCAAACACGAGATAAAATATTCTAAGAAGGACGCCAAGTATCACAGAAGCCATTGACAAGATAATGAAAGTGTTATTCCCGCCAATATTGCTGTATTTGTAAATAATAATTCTGCAAAATATAATTTAACGTATNTACAAGTAAGGATTAATCGCATCTGGATAAGTAGGTTTCCCTTTGAACTTTCCGTAGTAAACTTTTGTCGGATATACTCGGTCAATCGGTAGATTTGATATCTTTGAACCGTCGATCTTTGGTGTATACCTAGACAA